AGTGCGATTGGCACAGGACAGAGCGGAGTTTAGGGCTGTTGTACATAGGGTCGCTATGAGTCGCAAGCGACTCGACGGCACATAACAACAACAGTCCCTGCCTGATGCCACACTCTAAAGACCACTAAGTCACCCTTTCCTAAGAAACACATATGCTCCCTGCCCAGGCTGCCTTGTGGGGCTTCCCGTACGGTTTCTCTGTGCGATGAACTCTTTGGACAGGCCAGGGTTAACAGCCACAGCTGCTTTTATCACACTTCATTAAACTGCATATTTTACACTGAAGGTTTTGTGCATCCCTGAATCAAGCCAGTCTATAAGCATCAAGTCTAGCAGCATGTGCTCACTTGGTGTGAGTCACAGCTGGTCACTCCAAAATATTTCAAACTTCATCATGCACTTTCAGTAGTCTACAGTCTGGTGTCAACATGACTTTCATGTGCACTGGGAAAAGAAAGAATACTTCTGTGGCTTTTTTAAATTCCATTAGGTGCTTTCTATCGGCATTGCAGTATTGCCAAGATAGACTTGTAATCTGAGTGTTTGGCTAGTTAGCTGTCTCTGAGACTTGAGCCCTTTAAGGTATGGCTAAGACATATTGAAGCCCTGGTAGGCTAATCTTGACCCCTGTCACTATGTCTCTTCTTGCTTTTCTCCTGGGGATGAATGTGGCTCACACTGTGACACTCACCCAGGATGCAGAAAGTGGCTGCGAAGGCTTCCACACAGGACAGCTTGCAGGGTCGGCCGTAGTTGACGGGGTTGGCAGCCACCAAGTAAGGCAGCAGGCGATGGTGGCTCCCCCGCATCTTGCCAAATGGAGTCTCATCAAGTCTGGCCCAGGAGCAGTCAATGACAGCCACCCCAGACTGGGCTACAAGTTGTCTGCCAGAGAAAGTGTAGGGCTGCCTTAGTGATGACCCCAGGGAGTGGTTAACAGTCCCTGAAGACTAACTACACTAACAACACAAGGCCATCATTCTCTGATCCCACACACGCCCTTCTCCAAGAGTCAAACCTTTAAGGTGGGGCACTTGATTTTTCACTCAACAAACATGGTTGATGCTCTCCTATATGCTAGGCTATGTCATAAGCAAATTGTTTCAAGCCCAGAGTTTTGGCTGGAGGACTATGATTACATACCCACTGGTACTAAGTTCATCTACAGGTAACGTGGAGGCCAGGGTAGAATTCCCAGAGTCACACATCTTTATGGAAGTGGCCAGTCACAACTTTCTCCAGCACAGGGGGTTGGTCAGAACCACCAACTTTTTCATTAGCAGTCAAGTTATCTAAACACTGTGCCATGAGGGTTCTTGGGGAGCGACAAACATATGCAAATCAGTGGGCCTCGAAAAGAACATGCGCTAGAGAATGTAGAGGTACTAAGGCAAGGCAGTCTCAAAGCCCCACTGCTCGCTGACCTCAGGTCCCTCGCACTTACCTGTCTGCAGGAGACACGTACTGAGTACCCATAGGGCTGAGCACCAGACCACCGAAGCGCTGGCCCAGACGCAGGCGGCGCACCAGGCGAAGGCGGGCCAGCTTGCGGCCAGTGCAGCGGCGGGGGTCGCAATGGCCCAGCTCCCACATGGCCAGTGCGCAGGGCAAGCCCACTGAGTGCTGGCCACCCTCGTCCTCGCCTGCCTCTGCCTCCACAGTAGCTAAGCCGGGAGAGAGAAGGGAACCGAGTCTCAGGCGCTGGTTTTCCCGCTGACCCCGGACCCCCAAGTAGCGCTCTCCCCATTCACCAGGCACTCACCGCGCAGCGCGGCGCCCACTTCTTCGACGAAGGTCTCCAAAGAGCGGCTTGAAGGGCGCCGAGCGCGGCTGCCTCTGGCTCCGGGCCCACGGGCCCCTCTTCTGCGGCTCATGATGGGGAAGCCAGTCCCCAGAGATACGCTCGCAATCTCCTTCCTTGCAAAAAAACGGGCGTGTGGATTTCCGCACACGTGCTATAGCAACTTCCGGTTCTTCGGCCCACGTGATCTGGTCCACAATCACGTGACGTAGGCTGGCTAGGCGGGGATGGCTGCCGGCTTATGTACGCGCTTGGTCCTACTATGGCTCACGATACACGGTTAGTGGCCATTCTCCCGTTTGTGCTCTGCCCAGGCTTTCCGCGTCCCGTTTCACGCCCCTCGTTCTGCGGTCCCCACACCTGGCTTTCCCCCCCCCCAACCCTCGCTTCTTCTAGGACTGCAGCCCGGGGGTGCCGCCAAGATGAAGGTGGTGGAGGAGCCCAACACGTTCGGGTGAGCTTACTCGTCGCCGGCATAGGCAGAGGGCCTCCCAGCACCCCCGCTCCTGACTGACCCGACCTCTCATCTTCCGCAGCCTCAACAACCCGTTCCTGCCCCAAACTAATCGTCTCCAGCCTAAAAGGGACCCCTCGCCTGTTTCTGGTGAGTACACTACCTCTGCCGGACTGTAGTGTAGACCAGCCGGCATTGTCTTGAGCATCCGAACTAGGTCAGCGCTGTGATGTGGACACCTAGGAGTCTGCTGGAGAACGTCAGGGGAAGCCCCCGGGGTTGGGGGGACAGTAAAGGACATAACGATGGAGAAAGGAGAGAAGGGCAACCTTGGCTTTTGGAGGGGATTTTTGGAATATGCGTTCATTTGACAACTAAAAGTCATTTTAATTAGAATAATTTACCAGGACTTTGCACGCTCATGGGTGCATTATTTGCAAAAACATAGTACACTTTATTTCTTTTTCTAGAGGTAATCATCCTATGCAGTTTGATACCAGTCCGTGCTTTTGTGCGCATACTTGTGCTAGTTTAAAGTGAGTGGTGTGTTTTTTAGTCTTTGCCATTTATAAAATATGATGCAACTTCATACTTGGAAGGGAGGAGGGTCAGCACAGGAGAGGAAGATCCTGGATGAGCTGGATTGACAGTGACTGTGATAATAGAGGCAAGTGTATCAGAGACAGTGAGATTGGTTCAGGATAAGGGTAAGTTTAGAGCTATTATTCGTAGGGTCACTATGGCTCGCAGTCGACTCCAGGAGACATAACAACAACAACTGCACAAGTTGGTATGTCTTGGAACTTCATGATAATAGATACTGGTGTGTTTTTTTGTTTGTCTGTTTTTTTGCCAGTAGCTGCTAGTATCCCCAGGATGATCTGCATTTTTCAATTGTCAAGCATTGCATTTGCTTAACTGTCTGGACGTTTTAAAAATGTGTCAGTGTTGCACAGTTGTGTGAGTAGATGCTCCATTGGCAGGGAAGGGCTTGTGGCCGCATAGTGTTTAAGCTCTAGGTTGCTAATCAAATACTTGGCAGTTTGAACCCACCAGCTGCTCTGAGGAAGAATGATGAAGCAGTCTGTTGCCCCAACAGCCTTGGAAACCCTGTAGGGCAGCTCCTCTCTGTCCTGCAGAGTACATGGTGGCAGTGAGTTGGGTTTGGTTTTCTGAGGCCAAATCCCAAAAGTAGAATTTTCAGGTCACAGGATATGTATGTTTTAAATGCTGAGGGTGTTATAAACATAACAGTTTATTGGATTATGCAATGTTAGGGTATGTCCTAGGGATACAGAAATGAACAGAACATGGAATTCTTGCCCTCTGGAATGAAACTGATGGTCTGATGGTGGGTTGAGGGAAGCCGAATATCAAATTTAATAATAGTAGACCAAATGCTGTATCGGGAAATGAGGAAGGCTTAATACCAGCTGAGGGTCACCTTGTGACACTGGGGCATTCCTTAGGAGGTCACCTTGTGACACTGGGGCATTCCTTAGGAGTCAACATTGTTCTTAGTTTGTATCAAATTAATCCCTCCCTCTTGAGATTAACATAAAGAGGAACTTGGCCTTATCTGTAAAAGATTTCACCATAATCCTTTGTTTCGTACTTCCTTGTGATTCTATATAAATACTCAGAGAAGCATGGCTTGAGGTCTTCAGTCGAGAACTGCTGACCCCCTGTTTTACGCTCTCTGCTCTATCTCATTCCTGGCTGTTTGTCTCTTTATTAATAATTATAAAATTATTCTATTCTTTGGGACC